TATCTCAAATATATATCTTTTTAAATATTTTTTAAATCAAACTGTTACAATCAAATGTAGAAAGATATTTTCAATAGATGAACTATTGACATACGTTTGCATATCCGATTAATAATATTTGCATAACATTGTCCCTTTTTCTCTCTTTTTTTAACACACGCAATTCGATGTAGTTCAAGCGAAAATCACTTATCAGAAATCCTTTAAAAGTAAATATAATTCAGTTTTATTTTTAATTCCAAGAGATTCAGTAGCTCAGTTATAAATTTAAACAATCTCTCACTTGGATTTGTTAAATCCATAAATAACATACTTATACAGTAAGTTATTGTCTTCAGAGAAATCGTATATCGATATTTACGACGAGAATTGTCGTCTTTTTAAATATTTAACATTATATATAAGAAAATCTCTCTTATATTTCTCATATATGTATGTAAGAAAATCTCATTTGACAAACATACATACACACGATAAAAATTCCTTGTTTTATACGAAAACAAAATCAGATTCCTATACTCGATTTATACGTACATATATCTTTGCAGAAATCTCTCTATAGTCACATATATTTAATATAATTATGAAAAATGGATGTATAGAAGCGCGAGCTGTAGATAAGCAAGTCTTTTTAATTACTAGATTTATGAAACTACAATCTCTAATCTCCATATATGAAACTGCAAGCTCTATATCTTTATAAGCTTGTGGTTCTCACACGGCTAACACTGGCACGTGGAAATATGCGGAGCTTTATCCGGCGCGCGATATAGTATTAATTCGTTCCGCTCTGAAAGCTAATCCAGACACGAGACTAACCCTTGTTCATTTTCTTCGCCCTGCGCCCCAAAATTCGTCCACTCTGCTCTTTGATACGTGACCAGGCTCCCGAATCGTTTGTTCACTTTTCCCCTCCTAAATCTCTGTGGATATTACTACGATGTTGCTTTATACGGCATTTTATCCTGGAACATTTTCACACGAGTCATATTTTTTCAGTGAAAAAAAAAAAGTAGCGTGAGCACAATTTATATATCTTTTATCGGAAACGGATATTCAAAACTTAAGCAATCCACGATGCATACAGCGAATCATTTTATTTAATTTACATTACTTCTCTTTTCTTCTTTTTCCCCTCTTTTTTAATATTTTCATATTTACATAAAAATATAAAATTATTATCGATTAATTTTATTGCCAATTATTGCAGATTTTTATTGAATTAAAGTAAAATCCGCTGTGCTATCTTAATTATATTCATAATATGATTGATAATATATTTAGAAAAAATTCTCCGAGAGATTCCATTTCGGGATACGCGATAAAAATCAAGAAGAGACACTTGACGAGATCGGATTGCGTCACGATACGACAAGTTGCTATCGAGAGATTCAGCTTTCTTTCCTCATACGGCCGTATCCCAGTTAGCCTTTCCGTGTCGCAAGAACACGTCCAATGATCCGAAGACAATCTGGATGGAGAGGCTCTTGATTCCCCGGCGAGAGCTCCCGAGTTCTCCGTACCTGAGATCCCGAGGAAAAAAAAAAATAGGGTACCTCCTCTAATAAATTCCATTAGGCATGGGCTCTTGCGCGTAAGGGCCCCGATATTATGTTACGCGTTTTGACGTGCGCTCTCAATGGGCGCGCATCCATTACGCGCGGGCCCGGTGTGCGACACCGGTCCTGCGAGGTCAGGACTCATTCAAGCAACCGGGACGCGGTCCTTTGGTGGCCCTACCACCGAGCCCGGGTTCCCTTCGCTCCGACGAGGACCGCGCAAACCAGGCGAGCATAATTCGATTCACGAATGCCTCACTTCTTCTTCTACCCGCGCGCTCGCGTCCTTTGTCGCGATGCTCATCCTGGATACCGGATAGCGGCATGCAAGATCCTGCCTTTTGTCAGTGCTCGAACTTACTCCCTCTCCCGGACACTTTCGGTCTGTTTTTATTTATCCTCCTCGAGAGTGAACGATGCGACGAGATCGCTCGCTTCATCTCGCTCGCGCGAACTTCTGAAACCGGCGAGAAGGAACGATGGGGTAAGATCCTTCAAGTAACTGTTCGGGACAATACCCACTCCCGCCGATCTATTAGCAAGAATAACGACGTGCCACAGACTCTTCTGCCTCGATGGCTCTGCAAGGATGAATAGACCGAAGAGAGACTTGAAGGTGAGAGAGAGGGAGAGACAGAGAAGTCTACGCCAACGCTTCATACGTAACAAGCGGATTCTGGGGTTAACAAGTTTCGGCGTTCAGGTAGAAATGCTCGACAAGACATACTATCGATTTCAGGCTTCTCTTCATTGAAATCTCTATCGGCGGAAATTATCGCGGCTCCCTCTCTCTCTCTCTCTCTTTCTCTCTTGACGTTTTGCGATTCGTGACAAAATGAAGGAAGTGTCGCGACTACATGATTTGACTGAAAATGTAAAGTGCCAACGCGTATATATATCGTACATTTAATATTACGCGTTGATTTTGCGCAGTATTGTATTAATTAAAATTTAAATAGCCGCCGTCGGGAAATATTAATAATATAAGGATTCGTGTTTAATCGCCGAATGCAGCGGAGGAATAATAAAAGAATTTCACATTCTGTAATACCAATATGATTATTACCAATTGCAATAATATATCATTAATTTGCTCATCAATTATACTATGCAATAATCAGCTTTTACGCTCATGGTTCGTTCCATTCGCCTCTATCCTAGACAAATAAAAGAAAAGAAGGAAAGAAAGATCTTTTCAAAGTATCTTTCAACTTTTGAAAGCCATGCCCTTGAAGCGTTATACCAGTTTACGCATTTCTATCTTCGTCGATGAACCGATGCGCATTGGTAATAATATCGAATGATACTTTTCCAGAAAAGGAGTGGAAGAGATGGGATGGGGAGGAAGAACGGGTGAGAACGAAATGTCGAAACTGGGAAAGTTCGATCGTAAAAGGGTCGAGTGCTCTTGGGTGAACCAAATCAAGGGACGGAAGGAAAGGGTGAACGAGGGTGGGGAGGTCGCGTAAGCAAAGCACGAATCGAACTTGGTAGCAAACGGGTAGAAGGAAAGGCGAAGGGGAGACGAGCACGCGATTAGACGAGATTGAGAAAGTCCTTTGTCGTCGCATGGGATAAAACTTTTTTTTTCTACCATCTTCTCGCTCTCTTTCTTCATCTTCCACTTGCCCGACTCCTTCATCGCTCTACCTTCCTCTTTCTCTCTCTCTATCTTTTTCCACTCAAGCCGCCTCCTGTTGCGCCCTTTATCGTCCAATAAGATATCAGTCGATGTTCGTTACGACCATCAGAAAAAAAGGTTCTGAACAAGTCCGCCTCATTGGCTGGCATTCGATGCAGAAGAAATAGCTCAAATTTCTCGTCGACTTCCTTCGAACTTTTTTCAAACTCGTCGACACAATACTTAAGTTCGGGTATTCGGAGGCTACTGGCAATCGACTGGTATAATTAATCAATTATTGTCAGAGATGAGCGAACTAATATTTTTAATAGGAGATATATGTATATATAAACATATTAACATAAATTTTTCTCATCACTAAATTATAATATATCAACAAGTAATTATAAATAATATTATTTTTATTTGATTAATTCCAATTGCACTAACAAAAATTCATATTTAAAAATATTTAGTTTATTTTACGAAGTAGAAATAAATATTTATAATAGATATGCATTATTTTTGTTAGTGAGAATCTAACAATGCAAGTTCAACAATTTCAAGTATTATGTCAATAAATAAATTTTTCCCCTTACCAGTTTTAATTGTTGCATTTAAATCAAATGCTTTTATATTTTTATTTATTATTTACATCTACATAAATGAATTGATAGTTAAAAAGTTTAAATTGTTATCGAAATATTTTCACGAGCGGTGATAATGAAATAATATTATACTATAATATCAAAGAGATATATTGAGATAAATAGTAAATTGCAAGCAAAGTATTCTCTAACAGATACATGAATACAAACTGTGTGCGTGTTGCTTGAACTATCTTTCTCTGACCAAAATTTAACTTCGCAACCACTCGTGTTTACTCCAGTATACCTAAAGCTCTCGCCGAATATTGCATTTCACGTCTAACAATATAATCTGCTAACGTTCTCGCCGAGAATACGCTGAATTAAATAGCGTAACAGCCTTTTATACGTTACAAACCCCTACGAATTGCGTCTCTCCAGGCAACTCTCCATTTTTAATATCTCCCGACGATCTTTCCAATCCGTGTGACACATCTGCAAAATCCACGTCGTTGCCTCGCGTATTCGCGTTGACGCTCAAAAGTGAACTTTTGTCGGATTTGGGTTGAAAACAATCCCAGATCGTTCGCGGATAAGGTTTATACATATGTGGCGGTTTTTCCATCCGACATCTATCCACCCCCGTCGGTCGCAATAACGATCGATGCGTTGTGAACCGCATGCCTAATCGTGAGATCGGCTTAACCCTTTGCCAAATGGAAAGCTAGGCCACCTGTCCTGGATTACTTAGGAGTATTATAAGCCTCGAGGCCGCCAGCCGACCTAGATTCTAGGGCGAATCCTCGCGCCGATGTCGATCTGATGCTTTTCTTATCAAACGGCCTGTGTACCGACTCTATTCCAAGCTGATCCATTTATAAAGAGGTCTTCGTATTTTCACAGTCGTCATTTAACTAGCGAAAATAGTTTCGTGAAAAAACGAATACCTGAGAACGAGTTCTTTTTATAACAGTTTCGGGTGGTCGGTTTGAGTTTTATTACATCAGTAACTAATGGCAAACTATAGAACGTAATAAAAAAAAACTCGTTTCAGGGAAAAAATGTCAAGGCTAACCGATTCTCTTCTTCTGAAACTTTTGAAAAAAAATCACTCAACATGTTCACACTTTACTAAACGTCGAAATATATAACTCTATTGACAGCTTCGCCGAACAATTAAAGGATTCCATGTTAATCCTAAGTTAAAATTTGGCTTTTCCTTTGTTGTTGCAGGGTGTTTGTTGGACAGTTCGGCACCGCGGGGCCCGCCTGATGTGCCACCCCGTAATCCCGCAATGAGCCGGCTCAACGGAAGACTGCCAGGAAGTCACGCAGCGAGTGATCACGAACGCGATCCCGATCTCGAGCCATCCTGCCTCGTACGCACCCCATCCGGTAACTTCTACAATATACCAAGTGAGTCCGCAAGTAGGGATCGTTAAGTCTGATTTAGTAGAAACGAAGAGTGAGCGGAATATATACGTGGGAAACAACGCTTTTCCCCTTTTTCCTCTCCGTCTATGAATGCCTCGACGAATCCGAAATCGATTTCTTTGTATAAAACGGAAAATCGAGTCGCACAATTTTATTTATAAATTATCATCGCAGTAAAATTATAAACATTGAAAGAAAATTTAACGTAAAATTTTTCATTATTATTTTTATAATTTCTTGAAGCTCGACGATTTTTATATTTTTGTATTATGAAAATTATTAAATGCAAACAAACTGATGGACAAACAATTCGTAGGTAATATTTCAGGTATCTCGTTTATTTTTCCCTTTTATCTCTGTCAAGTTATGCCCTCCCATTATCTTAATGAAGAAGAATATCGACCTGAGAAAATTGTTTCTTTTCTTATGATCAGGTAGTTCTGTCACGAACTGAGAGAGACTATTTTCGTAGTTGTCTTGATATTCTTGCATCCCCGATTTGTCATCTTCTTATAAACATAAATATAAGACTCTCCGATGTTTTTAATAACGCGTCGCGTGATTACCCACGTGAAGTATCCCAATAGAGAAACATCAACATGCATCAATATTTAGCGGACGAGGAGAAGAATGGGAATGTGAGTGTCCTGGCAGGGTGTGTCTTCCGATAACGTCGATGTTTGCGTCAGCCTCGTCGAAAGAAGGCTTAGGCAAGGAACGATGGCGAGTGACATCTTTTGACGAGGGTATATGTCATAATCAGTGATAACCAATGAGGAAGTAAACCAAAGTGGGAAAGGAGACCTCGATAATTTTCAGCTTCTTTTGCGCGGGAGTTCGTATCTTATCGTTTCAAGGTTTTTCAAAGGCCTCTCTGTAAAAGCCATGTGAGGAGATACCTGAAATGTTCCTTTTTTACGAACTTTTCGTACGTCTGTGTTTGCCGAAGGATATCCCGGCGCAGTATTCCTTCGCTTTATCTTGAGAAAGCAAGGCACGTGGTAACTCCGCACCCGGCGAAATGCTCGCGTGTTTCGCGTGAGAAAACGCGGTTCTCTTCACGTGAAATAAAAGTTGGGAATAAAAGCCCGGGGAGAGAAGGTGGAAGGAGGGAGGGAGAGGGTTTGTTGGAGTAGTTAACTTGACTCTAACAAGCCTCGAACGATTCTCAAATTTAGTCGCCGGATTGCATCCGCGGATCGGTCTGATTCGGCTCGCCTAACTTAGCTTTTCACGAGTGTTCTTCAAACTTACACCCGCATAGGCAAATTAATTACAAATTTAATTTAAAGTATCGTAACATGGAGGAATAACATTGCACGCTAGTGGCAACTTTTCAATGGAATTAAAAAAATGTTCGATTCATTCGAAATGTCTAGAAGACGTGAAATGAAAAAAAAGCAATAAAAATTGGCATCGCGAGTTGCGATTGAATACGATGATTCGTGCCACAATTTTGCATTTCGAAACTAACTCGATTTTTTTTTCTTTAGAAAATTTAAAGTTAATGCAAAGTAAAGATAGATAGACGATTTTCATATTTAAGTTCAACTTTAATTTAAAGTATACGTGGAGGAATAACATTGCACGCCAATGGCAACTTTTCAAATGGAATTAAAAAAATGTTTGATTAATTCGATGTCTAGAAGACGTGAAATGAAAAAAAGCAATAAAAATCGCGAACATTGGCATCGCGAGTTGCGATTGAATACGATGATTGGTGCCACATTTTTGCATTTCGAAATTAACTCTATTTTTTTTTTTTTTTTTAGAAAATGCATTCTCTTTAGAAAATTCACAGTTAATGCAAAATAAAGATAAATAGGCGATTTTTATATTTAAGTTGAACGACTATATTCGAATTAATTCAACGTTACGACGAAGAACAGTCGCTTGACGGTTTCAACTTGTCCTTCGTCGTACCACACGAGCGTACTCGAGGAAAGAAAAGGGGCGTCTTGCGGCGACATTTTCCGAGGTACTCCAACGCGTCTGATATCGACTATACGAAGAGAAAACAACGGAAGTGAAACCTAACCGTTTCTACGTATAAAGTGTCCCACTCGGAAAGAGTGTCCGGCACACAAGAGTGTTCGTGCCCCTTCCTCTTGTTTAGCTCGTCGTAAAGATTTTTCAAATTCCACGGTCAGGCGCCGGGGGTGACTTTTCCACCGATGCGTCTCTCAGGGTGCATATCCCTTGCGTCATTTTTCTAAAGCAAAGGCTAAACCGTTCTCAAAGGTTTTCCTGAAAGCTACGAGATAGCTCGACTGGTGATTTACGATCCTTCGACATATTGACTGCCCGGTTACGACATCGCCTGACGTTTATGACGGTCTGCATACTGTTTAACTCCTTTTATAGCTGAGATTTCTCTTTCCCAGAGGCCATCTTGTTCACTCATATTCATTTTCTGAACGAAACGTGGACCTATCTTTGTTACGGTTGTAACTTGCAGAATGTGTATATAATTGAAAAAGGATTTTTACGAACGTAAAAGAATTGCGTTACTTAAAGTACATTAATCTATACGTTTGTTCCGCACATCTTTTGCAATTGAGTTATGTATTCACATAAAGTAACTGTCAAATTTTTGGAACCCTTTGTACGTCGTATATTTTTACGTGGCGTTAATAATTTATTTTTTTATCTCGATTCTTCATACTCGATTTACAATATTAAAGAGAGAAGAAAATATATAATTGTTTAAATATTAATTGTATATTTCCTTTTTATTGCATATATATATTTCATATCTCTAAATTATAAAAATTGATCATTAAAGTGATCTGAAATCTTGAAGAAAATCTATTTTACTAATCAGGAGCACAAAAGAATATATTTTACCCTCTCTGTAACACTGGAAAATATATATCATATATTACTTGAGAAAATTGTTTTCGCTGCTTTCGATTGAATCATATACATACTTAACTGAAAATAATCGCACTACGAAAAAATGTAAAATCTCTCAGATGATTTAAATGCGACCAACGAAAACCCCAATCTTATACACATTGACATTCAACCCTGAGATATTCTTCGCGCGAGCGCATCGTCCACGGTAAATCACGTGGCAGGTCGCCAATTAGAGATTTCTCGCCGGCGAACCGCCGATTAGCAGATATTCCCCTCTAATTCGATTCTGGGCCACGGGGGGTTCTCGTCTCGTGTGCCTAAGCGCTCCGGAGGAAAAAAAAAAGAGAAAAGCACCCTCCGGCCAGAGAGCGGAGAGAGTAACCCCCGAAATCACCGTAATCACGGATATCTGCCTAAATGGCATAATCACCGGATTTCGGCGGGACCGGAGCGGCAACACCTGCAATTAGCGATGGCTTCGGGGGTCAGCGGCTCAGGCCGGGCCCTTTTCTTCCCACGCCCGCGTTTTACTCCGCATCGCCGTGGTATGTGTAAAGGTACGGAGCGGATTTCTCTCCCCGTAATATAAGAAGAAGAGACAAAAGCTGAAGTAACAAGCTCTCTCCCTCTTTCTCTTTATCGAGTATCTCGAAAATGGGGTTTCGTGAAGCAGCCTCGAAAGGGGCTAAGTGTCAAGAAACAACAAAGCTCGAACTCGAATGCCGCCTCTGCGCGCGTAAACGTGCAAAGTGGCTCATTAATATTCAAAACGCTGCCGCGGAGCGCTGCGTTTTAAATTGCGCATCGTGCCACCGCGCGCGATATCTCGCCGCACGGATAGCCGGGTTAAACTTCTAAAATTAATTCGGGGCTTCGTTACAAATGTAAATACATTTCAGTCGCGTTTATTTCTATTTTATCAGTCATTATACGCTCGGCATTGAATATTCAATTCAGATTTACTTTTTTTTTTCTTTTCTCCCTCGCGATATTTCAGCTAATCATAAATGTTGTACGTTTCGTCAATTTGCGCGGCTGAAAATAAATTTAAACACGCGTTTTATATACCCCGGAATAAAAGAAAAACTATGTATATTATCGTCTCTCACTAAAATTATATAATATATATATATATATACGCGTATACTATATTTTGGCAGGATATCATACGCGAGAGAGAATAGCAACGTAATAGAATTTGTGCGATTCCGCCATTCCACGTTGGAAACTTGTATTAGAGAGGTTCCCTTGGTTGAGGATCAACGCGTTAATACCACTCGTGCATGTTGTTGCGAATGTGATCTCTCAAACCACCATCATCCACCGCTAATCATCAGTACTGTCGTCGCGACAATCTGCCGAAATATACCCGATGTCTCTTGTAGCAGAATATTGCGTCTCGCAACTTGTGCAATCGCTCGAGAATTATTCAAGAAAATTGAAAATAAAGAGAAGAAGACTTTCGCTCCGTAAAATGCGCTGTTCGATCGAATTAGCTTCGTTCGAGAAAAAATAAAAACTTGTTACGATACATGTACTTTCCCCGCCCTTTAAGACCCTCCCTGGTGGTTTTATAAAACCTATAAAAAAAAACAAAGTTTCTCCCTTCACGCGCGACTCGCTGTTCCGTTCGCTTGAAATTCAAGCCGAAACCGCGATGAATCATATACTTATCGATTCAACAGGAGAGCCGCGAGACCACCGCGTCTTACCTTTTTCTTTTGCTTTCACGCACATGCGGCGTGTAGAACGGAACGGACGGAAAGACGTTCGCGTCTGGCATCACAAAGAACGTCTGATGGTCGTTCACCGGGAAAAGTCTCGCGCTGAAAATGAAAGAATCGACACGTATCGTAATTTATTTAACGGCCGACCACGCCCCGCGCTCATCGAACCTCCGCGGTTAATTATACGTTCCCCGGTAATCGGAAATGCTGCGTGCGAGGATAAATGTAAGCGAAGGGGTGTCATTATCCCGTCGAATTGCGACGGTGAACATTTTTAACTGCATTTGACTGCTAGATGTAGAGAGAATCCACGTCACTACCTGCGTTAGTAGTGCGTGCCGTCTATTAGTAGGCTCTAACGACATCATTTACCTCCGGTGAATCAGTTAGCTCGGATGGAGAACGGTTAATCCTGAACGCGGAGAGGTCTTTTAAAGAGGAATAATCGCGTATCCTCGCGCGCAAAAAAAAAAAAATATATATATATATATATATACTAACTTCCGCGTATTTACAACGCTTATAACGCGATTTCGTATGCAGTACGTAAAAATGTAAATTACATCGCGTTGAATTGCATTTACATTTTCGGCGATGAAAAAACTTGACGGGTGGAGGCGCCGTTTCCCACGAGAAATTTCGCCGATCTGTCAGACGCGAATGCAACAAACTATCTTCATCGTCTCATCTTTCGTTTCTTCTCCCTTCTTGCAGAGATACCGAAGAATGAATATAACAACAAGAATCAGTCTACGGGGAACAGTCCAATAAAGGTGGAGCTCCAGAACAACATGGACAGGTAAGAGCCGTACGTGCCGCACGTTTACCGCGTATAATATTTCTTCTCTTTCTCTTTCTCTCTTTATATATCGAACGGCGAATTGTGTCGTCGGTGAATGAATTGAAGGCTTCGAGGTGCGAGCCGAAGAAACGCGTGTTTCGAAAACCTCGGACAGACGGACGATGGCGATCGACTTCTACGTCGACCTCCGTCTTTTTCTTCGCGCCACTCGATAGATCCTCATAAATCATCTATTCAGCCGACGCGCACAATGAGTTAATGTTTGAGCGCGGGTTGTCATCCCTCGAGGGAGAGACCGTCCGCGCGTGACTGGTTTCGCCGAGGAAAATCGCCGGTCCTTCAAGTCCTTATACGACACATTCGCCACAGATCCTTGAGGAATGCTCTCTTTCTCTCTCTCTCTCTCGTTGTGAGAGACTCGCAAAACGGTCGCCGCGTATTTACGGAAAACGAACTTCTTTCGGAAAGTGGACACAACGGAATTTGATATCCGACGTTAGCATCCCCGGGAGCGAACGGATTCGCGTTCTCTCTCTCTCTCTTTCCAGACTTTTGCAACGCTATGCAAATTTACATAAATGACATTAGCGCGCGCTCGAAAGTCGACGACGAATTATTTTCCAGAAATTGAATTAAAAAAACGATATTGATTTAATGCGAAATAGAATAGAAGGATAATAGAGAAAGGATAATTTGATAATGAACAATGCTGATTAGTAGCCGAGCTGACATTTAATTTCACGCGATATATACATATTTTCATATTTTTCTATTTATTATTAGTTCAACATAAAAAAGAATATTATATAAAAAAATTTTTTAACTTGATATATTTATAGGTATGAAAAGAGAGAAATAACATATGATCGAATATTTTTTTAAATTTGTGTAAAAAAATCAATACGTTTCACTTAGCTTTATTAAAAACTAAACCAACGAAGTATGGTGAAAATGTAAATGTGACAAAACCAAAGAGTTAACATTCAAAAACGTCGGATATTCCAATATTGAAACTTTGTAACGAATAAGTCAAACACTCGGTTAAACATTTCGACATCGGGCTGTAAAATAGAAAATTCAGAGACCTGGAAGTTTCACTCGGAGAACTCCAAATCGTCCGCTTTTATTTTGTTTGCGCGATAGAGAAAAAAAATGCGCGTCCAATCCGCGTAGAATCAACAGCGGAAGAGAGGACGCGCAGCCCTGGAGAGGAGGACGGTAGACGCTCGTTCTAGGTTCTCGTTTTTTTCATTATCACGCGGTGCAACGAAAGCAAACGCGTTTTCCCGCTCGCGCTTCAGAATCCGACGGTTGCGTTTAAATATTTTGGTTAGACATTTGTGAGTTACTTGGAAGCGGCGACGGTGGCGGCAACCGTTCACTACAAACACACTCGAGGACTGCTGCTTTTCTATGGGGATATGTAACGAGCGAGAATACATTGCGAGTTTCTCGAACGCCACGGGAGAGAAGGAAGGAGAGAGATAGAGAGAGAGAGAAAAAGAGAGCCGCAACTCTCTACTATATAGCGAAACTCCGAAAGTTCGACTCCGAATGTGCTTGAAAACTATACTCAAGTGCCGAATTCCTCGACGGTGTTTCTCTAATTACAACGGCGGCGCATCGAGAAATTATGTAACCCCGTGTAACGATTCGACTCGGATTGTTATCTAACTTTTCGGATAAAGCAACGGGATAAAGATTAATCTTCGACCGCTAACGAGCGGCCGGATAATCGTTAATGACGACGTGTGTTAAACGAATCTGCTACCGACGGTGGAGGAGATAAGGGTTAGCTAAGGAGGGGAATCGAAAATTTAAATGGGTGGCCGGCCACTATAAATCGACCTTCATCGATTTTCAGGGTACCTTTACCTTACGGGCACGCCCCGTCGATGATCCCGATGAGGAGACAAAGCATCCGCTGTCATTTCCGCAAGGGAATCGATTGGTGCAGCTGGAAACTAATTGCCATAGTAGTAATTATGCTCTCGCTCTGCTTGACCGCGGCATTAACCTACGTCGCAGGTAATTATTCGCATATTGCATTCCGTACGACAGTTTCTTTGCTCCGTCAGCCATCTATCTTCTATATTCTATATCAGATATAATTGTAAACTTAAACAAAATTATAACACAGATTTAAAGCTTCTATTTAAAAGCATACGTCACATTTTAGCAAGATTATGGATATGTCTCGTAAAAATATCTCAAATTTATATATTCTAGTCTATTTTTTATTCTTCTGTTGTCTGCGAAATACTCTTGAAACACTACGAAGTAGAGCAAGATAATAACAAGATAACTTCCGCTAAACTAACACCGTGTGCAATCCTAATTGATTCCTCATTAAGCGTCCAATTTAGTGAACTGGTCGTACCAAGGCACAAAGGCGTGCACGGTCCTGGTGGGCGAGAACACGGACGCGAAGCCATCGTCGAACGAGGCGAACAAGACGTCCACGTCATCCACTGTAACGTCGTCGCAATCGGGTAGCAGGACGCGGCAACCGTCATCGTCAGGAGGTAGGATTATCACGTCGAATAGCATGTTGTTAGATGATGTCGTATACAGCCGCAAGCGTAGGAACGCATTTAACGAGCATGCATTGCACCAAAGTGTCGCACCATCATCCCCTCGTGACTCCGAGGAGTCGTCCTCGACCCCAAGTGTCCTTGGGACCGAGACCTCGGGGTTCGAGCAGCGATCGGTTCCGTTGCATGACGAGTTCCCGGGTAAGATTGTGCATGATCGGGAGCATGAGGAAGGGCCGGTGAAGGAAGCTGTCGTGAATGTCTCGGCCACTACTACTAATTACTCGCACGATCATACTGTCGATCATCTCACCTCTTCGTCCTCTGTCTCTATCGACTCTGGTCGTTCGTCCGCGTCAACTTCCGAATCCAATCGCGAATCGTTCTACGATGATAAAGTGTCCGGCGCGACGTCCACGCGGCCTCTCGTCGAACTTTTCCCGGTCGTCGACGAAAACGCTGTTGATGCGCTCGAGAAATCGACGACGCGAGAAGAAGGGCACGTTGCCGCGAAACTCGTTCGCGATGATTACGCGGATTTCGAGAACACCGGCACGTCCGAAAGTTCGGACATTGGCAAAAGCGGAGACGGTATCGAGACTACGACGTCTGCATCCGACGCGGAGTCCCCGAAACTTGGCGCAGATAGCAGCGATTACGACCGAGTAGTTGGCGAAACTATAGAAAATGACAGCAACGTTTCCCCCGCCGATTATAACGGTAATATAGACGCTGCCGATAGCATTGTAGAAGCCGTAACAGAGATACGCTCGATTGAACTAACGGAGGATCAACGATTGAACGTAAGTAATTTCTATACGAGCGAACGGTTAGTTTCTGTAGAAGTGGAGCAAAACGGAGTAGACGCTGTAGATAGCACGATTTTGCCTAGTATAAACGTAGATGATGAACAAGCATTTCATGCATTGTTAAATAACGACGGGAAAATTGAAGATTCTAAGGAAGATGTGATCTTTCTCAGAGAGAAGGTTGAAGTAAAGCATTACAATAAGTCCGAAGAAAAAATAACTCGAAAACAATAAATATAGCCACGAAATCGATAGAATCGATAGAATCTCAGACGTCGAACATTGTAAAAGAAACCCGAGAGCTGTCTCAGGAATCTTCGTCGTCCGAGTCCGAAGTCTCGTTCAATATCATTAACGCTCCCGAACAGTCCGAGGAACTTCAGAAAGATTATCCCGTACCGATCTATAGCTACGGACAGGACGAGGTAGAGATTGTCGATCTTCATCACAAGAAGCGACCAATTGCAACTGTAGAAACAATAGATTCTCCTAAATCATCTAATTCTAAAATTCTTGAAAACGACGCGAAGTCCAGCGTTGTTTTCCAAAAGGAGCGAACTAAAGATAAAAATGATCCACGAATTATCACGAGAGAGGAAAACGTCGACGAGTTTCTTCGGAAGTTTGAAGAGAAGTTCCATGAAGCGACTGTCGAAGCTAACGAGCCTGTTGAAAACTCCTCGTCGATTAGAACTAATTACAATTTACCTTCCACGAATATTCCGCATGAAGCGGTGCACGATTCATCGGGTAACGCGTCACCCAGGTTTCCCTCTAATACGGATCATCTGTCTAACTCGCCGATCACCCAACGAATACAAATCGTGGAGGTGCCGGTGTACCGCGACACTCATCCCGGCTCATCATCATCATCCTCATCTTCATCGACATCTTCACCGCATCGAGTGCTCATAAATGTAACAATTGCCACCGAGGATCCATCTGCCGCTTCTTCGAGACCGCTATACGTTCTCTCGGTGTCGGTGCCGACGAAGGACGGCCACTTGTCCGGGATTAACATTGATCAAACGCAGGTGCCGCCTGCAGAGAGCATGAAAAAAATCCCTGCTAAGGACGCCGAGTCGATAAACGCGATCGATTCGCGATTACCGCCGCCGCCACAACCACCTGCCTCGCCTCCGGCGCCCATCTGGGCCGGTGGCGAGTGCGAGTGCTCCTGTCCGTGCATGGGCTCGTCCTCTGACGAATGGGACAATTTTTCAGCGATCGACGACAATTTGGAGCGAGAGCTCGAGAGCATTAATGCCACTCTGTCAGTCGACGAATTCCTAGAGTCCAGGGAGGATTCGGCGAACGGGAGAAAGCAAGATGTGGAATCAACAGCGAAAGATTCGGCCAACGCGACGATTTCCACCACCGAAAACTATTATTCGTCGTCGATGGACGATACCTCGAAGAATAGCGAATCAATCGACGGGATTTCCACTTCGACTCACGAGCCAGAAGTAAGCACCGATCTGTGGGCTTGTTCGGGGAGTACTGCCCTCCCCCCCGAGCCTACTATATTGATTCTCGAAGGTGAGGCCACGTTTATGATTGTCTCTTTTTTCTTTTTCTCTTTCCGTTTCATTTTTTCCTCTACATCACTTTCCTTCGAACACGTCTACTTTCTCTCTTTTGTCTTTGCTCACTTTTTTGCTTGTGTTTACTCGTGAATTTGTCAAATGCATTTACATTGATTTGCTTATATTGTAGTGATTAGTTGTATTTTAGTGTAATTTGTAGTAATTGCAATGTGCTTTGTGACAACATTGGTGGCGTTATTATTTAAATAGCATGGGTTACTGTAGTATTGACATAATTTTAAGTCAATTCCTGTGCACGAAATGTCACAATTAAATTGTCGTTAGTGATTTTTATACCGATAATGTTCTACAAGAGTAATCAGTAATCAATTTATTATTTTTAGAAGAAAATTAGTTGTTGATCCAATGATTGTGAGAAATAACGGAATGTGTATTGCGAGAGAATTAACTAAAAGTATGAATTAAATAATACGTTTAAAACGAGAGAAAAAGATGTAATATACTCAAAATATAAACACGCATAAGCATTCATCCATTAGCCCTGAGAATATTTTTAACCATCGGGTAACGTAATCTTGATACCTCGTTAACACAAAATTAATGCCAAATTTTTTTCTTCTTTAAGAAATCAGCTGTTCGATACAATCTATCGCAATTTAGGCAACACAAATTATCCGTTGACCGTAGATAACTCAATTAATCAGATTAAAATCTAACGACAATCCCGAGTTACATTACCCGATAGCTCAATCAGGTTCGCGATCGTACGCCGTGTTTTCTGATCACGATGCCCGGACTTCGCAGGTGCACGAACCTTCCCGGCGCGGTCCTTTCCGCCCGATGGGACGACCTTCGCTCAGGTCGGTTTAGGGCAGAAGCTCAGCAAGGAGATACCGCCGTACGGCTACTGGAACATGCAGTTCTATCAATCGGAGGCCGCCTACGTGCGTTTCGACTACAGCATCCCGCGCGGTGCCAGCATCGGCGTGTACGCGAGAAGGAACGCGCTGCCCACGCACACGCAGTACGATCTCCTGGAGGTTCTCAGTGGTTTCAAGGCTCGGACCACCAGGGCGTCCCATGTTAGTGTTATTGTATGTGCCACTGCCCTATTTTTATTTCACTCTCTTGTCAATAGTCTCCGGTAGACTATTTTTTTTCATTTTTTTACTCACCCCGTAGCACAACTGTGAAACTTACGCATGATTCGATTAGATAATGTACTCACGCGACCGCTTTCTTCACAGCCCTCGATTAAAAAGGAAGTAACTCAGTACATGGAGCCGGGACATTGGTTCCTCTCGCTCTACAACGATGACGGGGATCCTCACGAAGTTTCATTCATTGCTGTTATCGCCGAGGATATGACGCATAACTGTCCGAATGGTTGTAGTGGCAAGGGCGAGTGTCTCTTAGGTCATTGCCAGTGCAATCCTGGTTTCGGTGGCGAAGATTGCAGCGAGAGTGTCTGTCCTGTTCTCTGCAGTCAAAGAGGTGAGTTTTATTTTACTATTACTACCGAAAGATATCTCTAAATTAATAAATAATCAGCTCTTATTTCTTTTAATTATATTCTTGAATATTAAAAATAATTTACATCTTTTTTTCTATATATATTTCTTATATTTATGCATCATATTATACGTGCGCTATTATATTATTGCACAAATATTGAGAAATCCGCGATAATAGGATTCAGCCGTTTGGTTGAAATAATATTAAATTGAAAAATCTATATTGGAATTTTAATAAACTTCAAAAATCGGTTATTGGTTACGAGTTTGATTAAAATCCTATTGAAACAGGAAGAAATAACGATTGGGAAGTTTTTCAAGCGATTAAAAAAATCAAGCCTGGTTACGGCTTTGTATATTGATTTCTTTTAAATAGAAATCAAAGCCGATTATACGTTTCACTTGCTTCGATATTGCATTTTTGCAAATAATCGCGATACCTGCTAATTTCTCGTTACTTAACATACCAATTTTTTCTACTTTCCTAGTGCTCTTGATAATCAAAATATATTTACATTTGCAAAATGAAAGAAAGTAGAATCGAATTCGAAAGTAAAATATGATATAACAATAACTCAATGCAATTTCACGACTTCTGATAGCATCTGATAAATCGAATCACAACTATTCTACGTATGTACCTATAGAAAGTGTCTTCGGCGACAATTTTGCTGTATTGCCGTTGAATTTCAATTGTTAAAAGTTTCCGTTCTTTTGAACCAACTTTACGAGTAAATAATTCCACGTCAAATAATTTTGTCGCACCGATTTAGGCGAGTACATAAACGGCGAGTGTCAATGCAATCCCGGCTGGAAGGGTAAGGAGTGCTCCCTGCGACACGACGAGTGCGAGGTGCCCGACTGCAACGGGCACGGTCACTGCACCAACGGCAAATGCAACTGTGTACGCGGCTACAAGGGGAAGTATTGCGAGGAGGTTGACTGTCCGCATCCGACTTGCTCGGGCCACGGTTTCTGCGCCGAGGGCACGTGCATCTGTAAAAAAGGTTGGAAAGGAGCCGACTGCAGCCAAATGGACAAGGAGGCACTGCAGTGCCTGCCGGACTGCAGCGGTCACGGAAACTTCGATCTCGAGACCCAAACCTGTCTCTGCGAGCCGATGTGGTCCGGTGATGATTGCTCGAAAGGTGAGCGAACATATTAACGAATGTAAAATTATATAATATTATTACTTAATAATCGAAAATCGATATATCGAGCATTTTTCGCGCAAAAAATTCATATTACAAAAGAATTATTGTTTTAAATTTTATCCGACAGATTGTAATTTTATCTTTTCTTCTATTTTTCTCTTCACATAGTCTCGAAAACGATTATTTTATATTTATACTCAGCTTATATATTTCTATGTTTTTTAAATAATTATAAGAAAAATGTGTCTTTCAGAACTAACTACGACAAATATAGCTGTATCAATCTTCGATGTTAATTTAGAAATCAGAGATTGTTAACTGGGGGCTGTGACCGCGATATAAATTGGGTTAAACATATCGAGATCGATACGCTCGTGTACTCGTTTTGTACCTTCGTAAAATTGATGATTCCTGTGTTTCCAGGTGTCAGAAAGATGGCGACAGAACTTACGAAGTATATCATTTTCACATTCTCTTGATTAACTATCCTTTTTTTCTCGTAGCTTTTATTCACTTGTGGGACGATCGTCGCTTTACTCCCGGCTTCTGAGTGTCGCTTCGAGACTAACATTTCGCGTCCTCTGAAACGAACCAGGTGCTTTTACAGTTTCCTGTTCCGCTGTTTCAGAACTGTGCGATCTCGATTGCGGTCCTCACGGGCACTGCGTGGATAATGCCTGCGATTGCTTGCCAGGCTGGTCCGGCGAGCTTTGCAATTTGAAGCAGTGCGACCCTCGCTGCAACGAGCATGGACAATGCAAGAACGGCACGTGTCTATGCGTCACCGGATGGAACGGAAAACACTGCACGATGGAGGGCTGTCCAAATTCCTGTTCCGGCCATGGACAGTGCAGGGTGTCGAACGACGCGCAATGGGAGTGTCAGTGCTATGACGGTTGGGACGGCAAAGACTGTAGCGTGCTTTTAGAGCAGAATTGCAACGATGGACGAGACAACGATAAAGGTACATCAAATTAATTTAATGATTCAATATAGAAAGCCGATTATTATATAATCGTATAATACTTGTTACTGTACAATCTATACGTTTCATTTTAAGATCGAGTCATTGAAATATCAGAGAATGGATATAGTGTAAATTAAAATTTTGCAATTGCATTACTACTTATACTTGAAATATTCGAAATTCAGCAACTAATGCAAAAATTCATCAATATAAGTGCATTACTTATTTTGCGACCTTAATGAAGAATAATGAAACTTTCAGATGGTCTCATCGATTGCGCCGATCCGGAATGTTGTTCCAATCACATATGCCGCAGCAGCCAGCTGTGTGTCTCAGCGCCCAAGCCAATCGATATATTGCTACGGAAACAACCGCCCGCCATTACCGCTTCCTTTTTCGAGAGAATGAAGTTCCTAATCGACGAGGGCAGTCTGCAGAACTACGCTCGTCAGGAGACTTTCAACGAGAGGTAAGTTCGTCGTCGATCGTCGCGAGACTTTCCCCTCTTGTCCTTGCGACCAATGTCGTCGTCATGATCCTCGTCGTCTCCGCGTTGAATCGTTAGCGAAAATTGTCCGTCCCGATGTCGATGTTGCGTCTACCGTCTGCGTGTCTCTGAGTAAAGAAGTAAAATAGAAGATTCAACACACATGTGCGATCAGGAGAAAATGGCAGCATAAAATAGGAATACACTAGCCACTTGGCGATATCACTTGTGTTCACCACTCTCCCCTTTACATATGGATTTCTTCAAGAGTGTAGAATTAATTTTTCTTGGCAAAAGTTTTATTAAACTCTATTTCTCTGTAATTCCTTATTGAATTTTACATAAAAATTTAGTTGATTTAAAATCCAATTTCTGAGATGTTAATAGCCTACTACAATTTAGAAATTAATATGATGCCTTGACATTGTTTTTTATTAAGATCAAATTTATTTTCTAAATTAAGCAAAAAATCCCTATATGATAAAAAAAAGTGCATGGAGAACCTGTGAAAGTCTGTATAGAGCGTGAATCGCAAAGGTCGAGAAAGCTGCATGCTCGATGGGACTAACGGTTATTAATAATACGATTATAGTCAGTCCCTTTGACTCGAGCCGGGAGCCGAATCGATTGAAAGATTAGTAGTTGGACAAAGCTGATCGATCTTTATTTTTAACTAAAGCGGGAAGAAACGCGCACACATAGAAGGGTCCTAGGCTCTTCTCTCGCAAGAATCCGGTAATCTTTAGCTGCCTTTACGCGCATATATTACAAGATACACGCATACCCCTGTATATCTCTCTCTTTCTTTTTCTCGCAGTACACGTGTATTACCGTACAGACAGAATACAGACACGAGGATGCATATACATAGATTTCAATATATTATATCTGCGTTGTTGTGACCCGTGTGAAATCACATCCCAACAGTTTTCTACATATGTTTTGTACGTACGTGTGCGCGAGCGTGTGCCCTGCACTAACCCCTTTCTCCCCCTTCCCTTCCACTCCCGTCCTTTTCATTTATCCATGTATATTTCTCTTTCTCTCTCTCTCTCTTTCTCTTCTCTATTCTTTCTCTATCTATGCCAGAATCTTTATCGCAGTCCCTTACGATCTATCTCTATCGACATACCAATCCAACCCCTTTTCGATTCTTTTCCCTTTTTCTCTTTCTCATGTCTGTCCGAGTGAAGCTTGCGTGAATGTGTGAGTCCATGTTTAAGCCTCGAGCTTTTCGCTCTTCATGCCGACTAAGGGGGTGGGGGACTCAGGGAAGGGGGTTATATACAATAACCGGACAGTTTTTTCTCCCCGACGCGTCAGGTCTATCGGAAGGGACCGGCAAATTCTAATAATCCCGAGACGCGACGTATCGAAATTCTTCGTAAAAGCGGAAAGTTTTCCTCAAACTCCTTTATATTTTTAGTCCCACCTTTGAATATCCTTTGCTGCTTTTTTTCTATTTTCTCTCTCTCTTTTTCTTTCAATCTCCTTCATCCCTTTGACGAATCATTCTCGAGATCCTGCGTCCTCCTTCTATTTTCGCCTTTAATCGCATCATTTTAACTCGGCTCTGTTTTATCCGTGCTGCCCGGTCAGTATGTTCTGGAATCACTTCAACACAAGGTAAGAAAACCAGACATCGATAAAGCTCGATTAAATGAACGAGGATCCGTAATAAGATCCGTCGTAGCGGTAATAAGAAACCTGCTGCTGTTTGATAATATTTTCGTGCATTTGGTATCTCTCTCACGTATGTGTACATAAAAATACATCCTGCATCCTGATCACCACAAGCCGTGCGTGTGTGCGTTCGACTGCGCTTGAGAAGTTTGACCTCATTCGATTTGATTGAATCTCGGCAGGTCTCGCTCTCCTTCGATCATGTATTTCCGCACCTCGCATTTGTATCAATTATCAGTTGTTCCCAGAGATGATGGAAGAGACAAAATCGTGGATTAATGCGCGTGAGAAAGAAACATTTCTCACTCTCATTAAATCCAATGATGTCATGCAAATGTCCTTTTATCAACATTTGAGAGCAACGAAAAGAATGAAAGAGAAAAATGAGATGTGTGGTTCATACGATACATGATCTAAGAGTCTCTGTGTAGACAGTTGGAACACATTCCACGATCGGCGCACTTGTCCTCCATTATTGTTGAACACATTCTCGTGTTGCATGGTTCAGTTACCTTTTGATTCCTACGTTGTGTTTCGTGCCTTTTACGTTGAGCTTCCGACTTTGTGTTATTCGTGTATATTCACATAAAAATATATATATATATATATATATATATATGTATATATATATATATTAACTGTATGTATGTAAGTAGTGATTTGTCCTCGACCATAAAACGCTCCAGTGCCAAAGAGGCACGATGAAGGTTCGATTATCGTATTCCGTTGTTCGTTCGAGAAAAAAACGGCAAACTACAGTGATCAGAGAGATCATCTGAAACATCACGATAAAAAATAATGCGACGATTACGTTCGTCGTTGTTGTTCGTGCAGCGATAAACAATCAAAGAATCGAGTGGTCCCTCTTTAGCACTGAGAAGCAGAATTTACGAAAGTAAAAACGTCGCGTTGAATATTCATCGCGTATTTGCATACGCGATTGGCGATCGATGCTCGGTATCGAGATACTTATTAACCGGCGAAAGAATGCTGTCACATGTAAATGGACGCGCGTTATCCTCCTAGATGCAAATTTACCTCGATTACTTCGGTCTTTTTAAACGTCCGGGAAGACGGCACTTTTGCGTGTAAATATAGCGATTCTCCTCATCACGGACATTGATTTGTCGATAATTCCAAGATTTATTTTTGAAACACCTAGATCCAAAGCAAAATATTATACAAGGTCTCCCGTATTTCTTATTTTATATTATCGTATTATTTTATAATAATTTTCACACTGCAATCCACATTAATAATATTAATATATGTATTACACTTATATTAATTTTCTTTGTTTTTTCTCTACAAAACTTTTCAAAAATTAATACTACAGGTATAATATCTTTATTTTTAATTATACATTTAATGAAGAATTGAAAAATGTCTCAAACATTTAATTAAATATTATCAAGTGACAGTATCTCTTTTCGTCGGTGTGTTTACTCTAAAAAGAGATTTTTAAAGTGTCAACAGTAAAATGTAGTAGATTGAAATTAGTCTAGAGAATAGCGGTTGCTTTGTTGGTAGTGTACGACGAAGCATACAAAGAAGTGATCTTCTAGATCTTATTTGATTTGTTCGCAAACTTATTTTTCGATTAACGAGATCGTTGTCTAATAGCCGATCGGCCGTCATACGCGGCCGTGTCGTCACTCATCTCGGCACGGGACTGATGGGAGTCCGGGTCAGCACTAGCACACCGCTGGAAGGCTTCACCCTCACTAGAGACGACGGCTGGTTCGATCTCCTGGTGAACGGAGGTGGCGCCGTAACTCTGCAATTCGGCAGATCGCCCTTCAAGCCGCAGAGCCATATCGTCTTCGTGCCCTGGAACGAGGTAAGCGTAAATTTAAATTAATACCTGAGTGAACTCTAAACTGCAAATTGACTGAATCAGTCAAAACCAGCAAAGTTAAATTTGCGATATAAAACAAATGACTTAACATCTTTCTTAGAAAGTTAAGTTTATTTGTTATCCTAGCAGTTTTTAAAATATATATTTGTTCCGTCCAGGTCGTCATAATCGACAAGATTATTATGAGCACTGCTGAGGAGAAGCCACCTGTGCACGTTCCACACGCATGTGCTGCTCACGATTACGACCTCATGAAGCCGGTGGTCCTGGCGACTTGGAAACACGGATTCCAAGGAGCTTGCCCGGACAAAAGCGCTATTTTGGCGGAGTCTCAAGTTATACAGGAAAGTTTGCAAATTCCCGGAACGGGCTTGAATCTGGTATATCATAGTTCGCGAGCCGCCGGTTACCTCTCTACCATACAACTGCAGCTGACGCCGGAAGTCATACCGGCAACCTTGAACTTGATACATTTGAGAATCACGATTGAAGGTATACTATTCGAGAAGACCTTCGAGGCTGATCCAGTAATTAAGTTTACTTATGCGTGGAACCGCTTGAATGTCTATCGCCAACGCGTCTACGGAGTTACGACTGCTATGGTCAAGGTTGGCTACGAATATAGCGATTGCAAGGACATCATCTGGGATGTGCAGACGACCAAGTTGAGCGGACACGACATGTCCATCTCGGAAGTCGGCGGTTGGAACTTGGACATTCATCACAGATACAACTTCCACGAGGGTATCTTACAGAAAGGAGACGGCTCGAACATTTATCTGAAACATAAGCCGAGAGTTATCCTCACCACGATGGGAGATGGTCACCAGAGACCGTTAGAATGTTACGATTGCGATGGGCAAGCTTCCAAGCAGCGTTTGTTAGCTCCTGTAGCTCTTGCCACTGCAGCAGACGGCTCCATTTTTGTCGGTGATTTTAATCTAGTCAGGAAGATTCTCGTCGATGGAACAGTCAGAACTGTAGTCAGACTAAAGTAAGTAATTGATCGTTAAATTTTTAAACTCCTAAGATCTTTTTTTCTGATTTAAAAGATTTTATTTAATTTTATATTTCTATTCTTTTAGCGCAACCAGGGTATCATATCGTTATCACATCGCTCTAAGTCCGCTGGACGGCGTTCTCTACATATCGGATCCAGAATCTCATCAGATTATTCGCGTACGCGACACCAACGACTACACGGATCCCGATCACAATTGGGAGACAGTAGTCGGTTCCGGGGAACGTTGTCTTCCCGGCGACGAAGCTCACTGTGGCGATGGTGCGCTCGCACGAGACGCTAAACTCGCTTATCCCAAGGGCGTTGCCGTCTCTGCTGATAACGTCTTGTACTTTGCTGATGGCACGAATATACGGATGGTCGACAGAGACGGTATCATCACCACCGTGATCGGCAATCATATGCATAAATCGCACTGGAAACCCATACCCTGTGAAGGAACGTTGAACGTCGAGGAGGTTCATCTACGCTGGCCGACTGAATTGGCGATCAATCCCTTGGACAACTCGCTGCACATAATTGACGATCATATGGTTCTTCAACTGGCGCCAGACGGTCGCGTCAAGGTCGTCGCCGGTCGTCCGCTTCATTGTGCCTCTCCGTCAGCCTCGTTTGATACGGAGCTCGCGACTCACGCCACTCTGGTGATGCCGCAGAGCGTCGCGTTCGGTCCATCGGGTGACCTCTACATCGCCGAGAGCGACTCCCAGAGGATCAATCGCGTTCGCGTGATCGGTACCGATGGCAAGATCTCGCCATACGCCGGTGCTGAGTCCAAGTGCAATTGTCTGGAGCGCGGTTGCGACTGCTTCGAGGCCGATCACTATCTGGCATCTACCTCTAAGTTCAATACTATATCCGCCGTGGCGGTTTCACCCGACGGAGTAGTGCACATCGGTGACCAGGCCAATTATCGCATTCGCTCGGTGACAGCGAGCATTCCTGACGCGAGCGGTGCACGAGAGTACGAGATCTATGCACCCGACACGCAAGAAATCTACGTATTTAATCGGTTCGGTCAGCACATTGCCACGAAGAACATCCTCACTGGCGAGACTGTGTATCTCTTCACGTATAACGTCAACACTAGTAACGGCAAGCTCAGCACGGTAACAGACGCGGCTGGCAACAAGGTCTTTTTGCTGAGAGACTACAGCAGCCAGGTGAATTCGATCGAGAACACAAAGGGACAGAAATGCAGACTGAGGATGTCTAGAATGAAGATGCTGCACGAGTTGAGTACGCCTGACAATTATAACGTCACTTTCGACTATCACGGACCTACTGGTTTGCTGAAGACGAAACTCGATAGTACCGGTCGCAGCTATGTTTACAATTATGATGAGTTTGGCAGGCTGACTAGCGCAGTGACTCCCACAGGCAAGGTGATCAGCTTGACGTTCGATCTTAGCCTGAAAGGTGCCATAGTCAAAGTTGGACAGAATAACAGGAAGCCCATCTCGATGCTAATCAAAGGATCATCCGTTGTTACGAAGGTTGGAGAAGCCGAGCAAAGAACAACAGTTCTCGCCGATGGCTCAGTTGGAAGAGTGACACCATGGGCTCACACCGTCAGCACCGACAGTATGCCGTACTCGATCTTGGCTGAGATCGAGCCTCTGTTAGGCGAAAGCTATCCCGTGCCGGCTAAACAGAGAACAGAGATTGCTGGCGATCTGGCTAATCGCTTTGAATGGCGATACTTCCTTCGAAAGATCCAAGGAAATAAGAATCGCGGAAACTCTAAGGCGATCGCCCAGGTCGGCAGAAAGCTCCGAGTCAATGGCGAGATCCTGCTGTCTCTCGAGTACGACAGGGAAACAAACACGGTGGCAGTATTTATGGACGATCGAGTGGAATTGCTGAATGTTACTTACGACAGAACTGCTAGACCCGTTAAATGGGGACCGAGGAATGGTATCTTCGCCGGCGTCGAGCTGGAATACGATCGATTCAGCAGACTGACTAGCTGGACATGGGGCGACATCAGTGAGACGTATGGCTTCGACAGAGCGGGTCGATTGTACGAGATCAAATACAGCGACGGTACATCGATGGTATATGCCTTCAAGGACATGTTCAGCAGTTTACCACTGAAGGTCACTACGCCACGTGGAAGCGATTATCTTCTCCAATACGACGAGGCAGGAGCATTGCAGTCGTTGACTACACCGAGAGGACATATTCATACGTTCTCTCTTCAAACGTCCCTCGGATTCTACAAATATCAATACTACTCACCGATGAACAGACATCCGTATGAGATTCTTTACAATGACGACGGTCAGATCCTTGCTAAGGTGTATCCTCATCAAAGCGGAAAGGTCGCTTACGTTTATGATCACGCTGGAAAACTCGAAACCACGCTTGCTGGTAAGTAGTGCATATAATTTCGTTACAATATGCTCATGTCTTCTTTTTAATTGAATTTATTAACTGTGATTCAGAAAAAAAATATTTTTTATTTCTATAAATGTTATGATACAATTTATTAAAAATGTAAATATCTTTGTATAGGATTGTCCTCGATACATTACACCTATCAAGAAACGACCAGTCTAGTGCGCAGCATCGACATCAACGAACCAAACTTTGAGATGCGCATCGAGTACAAATATCACGCCGGCATCGTAAAGGACGAGAAAATTAAATTCGGCAGCAAGAGCGGTATGGATAACGCTCATTATCGTTATCAATACGACGGTAACGCGCGCATATCCGGCATCGAGGTCGACATCAACGGCAAACAGCTGCCTCAGCTTCGTCTCAAATACAACCAGAATCTCGGTGTGCTGGAAGGCGTTGGTGATCTCAGGATATACAGAAATCTCTTCAATCGATCGGTTATGCAGGATAGTAGCAAACAGTTCTTCACGGTCACGGACTACGATGAGCACGGTCGCGTCAAGACGGTGCTGATAAACATCCGATCGTTCGATGTATTCCGCATGGAGCTCGAATACGACAATCGCAATCGCATCAAGATGAGGAAGCTCACGATCGGAAAGGAGTCGATGGAGAAGAAGGAATGGTCCAGAATGGAAAAAATCACGTACAATGCGGACGGTCATGTGCTCGAGGTAGCTGACACCGAAAACAATTGGCAGTACGCTTACGATGAGAACGGGAACGTGATCGGCGTGACCGAGCACAACGAGAAGATCGTCTTGGGCTACGACAGTGGTGATCGAGTGGTCCAATATGGTGATGTCGAGTTCAACTCGTACGATGGACGCGGCTTCGTCGTGATTCGAGGCGAGCACAAATACAGGTAAGTGTTTTTTTATTTTTTCAAAATTTTATAAGAAGATATATACCTGTAGTCATTAAATTTTATTAAAATAATTAAAATTCTATATGTATATATAGAAAGATATCTTTTTTCGCAGCAAATTTTGCCAAAAGTTTTTTATTGAAGAACACCGTTCTAAAAATAGTGTAATAAATATATAATTATATAATTAATATTATAATTAAATATAATTAATATGTAATAAATATATAGTTAAATGCCGTAAAATATGTTATATTAATTTTCTTTTCTTTAGGTATAATTCGCGCGGTCAGCTGATTCATGCGTCGGAGCACAAGAAATTCCAAATTTGGTACTTCTACGACGATCGTGGCCGATTGGTATCGATGAACGACGATCGAGAGAACATCACTCAGTTCTTCTACGCGAATCCAAAAACTCCGGATCTGATAACACACGTGCACTTCCCGAAGTTGTCCAAGACATTCCGGTTCCTCTACGATTCGCGCGACTTTTTGATGACTGTAGAGACATCCGAGCAACGATTCTACGTCGCAACGGATCAAAACGGTTCGCCTCTCGCTCTTTTCGACACCAATGGCAATCTCATCAAAGAGATGCGACGCACGCCATTTGGCAAGATCATCAAGGATACCAATCCGGACTTTTATTTGCCCATCGATTTCCACGGTGGTCTCTTCGATCCCAATACTAAGTTGATCTATTTGAACAAGAGGCTCTACGATCCAACTGTCGGTCAATGGATGACCCCTGCTTGGGAGCAAATGGCCAATGAGCTTACCACGCCGACCGACATCTTCATCTATCGTTTCCGCAACAACGATCCGATCAACTTTAAGCAGAACGTCGAGTACATGACGGATCTGTCGAGTTGGCTGAAACTCTACGGTTACGACATCTCAACAATGCTCGGTTCCGAATACACGAAACAAATGGTATATCAACCGAGTGCCACCGTTACGTCCCCGCAACTGACTCCGGACTTTGGCGTGATGTCCGGTCTGCAATGCATCGTAAATCGCGTGCAAGAGAAGTTCTCCGACCTTGGTTTCGTGCCCAAGCCACTGTTGAAACTGGAGCCAAAGACGCGAAACCTTTTGCCGCGAGTGGCCCATCGTCGAGCGGTCTTCGGCGAAGGTATTCTGGTGTCGCGCGTCGGCGGTCGAGCTCTAGTGAGCGTAGTGGACGGTGTGAACAGTGTGGTACAGGACGTGGTCACGTCCGTATTTAACAACTCATACTTCCTGCCGCTGCACTTCAGCGTGCACGATCAGGACGTTTTTTATTTCGTCAAGGATAATGCGCTGAAAATCCGCGACGACATGGAGGAACTTCATCGGCTCGGCGGCATGTTCAATGTGTCCACGCACGAGACAACGGAGCATGGTGCCGGCACGTGGAAAGAGTTGAGACTGCACAACCCGGATGCGGCGGTGGTGATCAAATACGGGGCCGATCCCGAACAGGAGCGGCACCGGATTTTGAAACACGCGCACAAGCGTGCCGTCGAACGGGCCTGGGAGATTGAGAAGCAATTGGTAATGGCCGGTTTCCAGGGTCGGGGCGACTGGTCCAAGGAGGAGAAGGACGAGCTCATCAGTCGCGGCACCGTCGACGGCTACGAGGGCGTCGATATCCACAGCGTGCACAGGTATCCCCAGCTCGCCGATGATCCTGGTAACGTCGCGTTCACCCGCGACACCAAGAGGAAGAGGCGGAAGAGCGGCAACAGACGCAACAGGACTCACAGGCACGACTCGTGATTCGAGGACGCCACGACGCGAGTTCAAAATATCGCTTGGGACTTGATTCGCGCGTGAAGCGAAGGACCGGTAGAGAAAAAGAGAGCCAGGATGGTTTTGTCGCCGCAAATGTGATTGTAATTGCGTAAATCGCAATTTGCGGCCAGCGTCGTCGCTCCCTTCTCTCCTCGATCCTCCTCTCGGCCTCTTCTCTTCCCTCCCGCGCTCGTCGTTCAGAGGGACAAGAAAATCTATCACGAGCGACGACGAACGATCCGTCTCATGTCCGGTATTTGCAATCCGTCGATGTGCCATATATGCGATCGCAGTCGTTCTTTAAATTTTGAATCGATGTGCGAAGACAAACGGGTGTGAAAACGGATCGCGAAGTGTCAAAATTAAACCTAGTCGCATTATTAACGAAATGAAGAATATAAAGCTTGTTATATGGTGATTAGTTTATAGATTAAAACAAGGGAGAGACACGAGGGAGAAAGAGAAAAGGAGGTGGCGAGTATAAGCGCAATATAGGGATGCGAGATAGGATAGTGCGTGCGTAAACTTTCAAGGTGCCGTCCGTGACGAAATCGATAGCGTTTTTTTTCTTGCGAAAAAGAGGGTGAGAGGAAAATATTACGTGTCTTGGACTTTCGTCACAGATCATCGGTTAAATTCGAGCTGGTGTTAACTCACACAACAAGGTCTACAAGACACGCGTATACGCACGCACACGCATGAGACAGGAGCGAGACATCTCGAGGAAAGTACGTCGAAGAGATGCGAGAGAGAAGATAAATTTCAATATGAAAGATAGGAGGTTTTCGCGATAAGAAAAAACACGAGTTTCTTTCTACTTGAAATATTCTCACCTCGCATCGTCTAGTCGGGACGCATTCGTCTAAGGATGAATACGTTTCGACAAGGTTTTGACACCTTGAAGTATATCGTGGCGCGAGATGTAAAACAAGTGAGAGCGAGAGATTGAGAGGGAGAAAGATAGAGAGAAAGAGACAAACGTGGAGAATAGATATATACAGCAGATATTTTTAACAATGGCGCAAATTGGTGTACTAGGTGCGAAACGAGCAATTGTAAATATAGCTACACTCGAACTTAATGGTAAATGTAGATAAAGTATCGTATAATATGTAAAAGAAATGCGCGCGAAAAAACGGTCGTAAAACACAAGTGGAACTGTCGATACCGCTTTTTTATATGTATACAAAGAAAAATACACACGAGACGACACATGCATAAAGATATATATAGGAATTTACGTCCCCGAAATATACGCGAGCGGGAAAAATAATATGGGGAAAAGTCGCGAAGAGAGTTATATCGGACACGTCGCGATTCTGTTCTTTTGTTCGTAAAGATATGGAAAACAAAGGGAAATTTTGTTAGGAGAAAAACGCGACATTCGCGACGGATGATTCACGTTAATCTCGACCCAGGCCTACGCACACAATTGACATACATACATACATATACACAGACGTAGACATTATTATATCGCTTCAAATCGGCATAGTCGTACGAACGGCAACGCATAATTGGAGCCAAGTATAAATATGTGTGGCACCTAGAATCGAAATCAAGTCAAGTTTAAGAACCATAGAGTTTTATTTTAAATATAATTTCATACTTGAAATAACGCAAGTTCAAATGGGGTCTTCGAGACATTAGATAAATGAGACAATATATTGATTTTTCAATAATAAAATTAATATAATCAATGTGAATTATAAATGACACAATGTCAAACTATATGTAATAATTGTTAGAGAAGAGAGATAATTATTATTAATTTTATCGCTGCAAAGTTGCACTTGTCCCATTTATCCGCTCAATTGAGCTCACTTGGGCATGAACTTTATAGATTTTAAACTTGATGAATTTCAATTGTGAAAGAAGGGCTGCCTGAGGTATAAACGAATCCACTGATTCGTCGTAGACAAAATAGATACTTGTAAATAAATAGGCATCACGTAAACGAGTAAAAAAACTACTACTGTTACGTGATATTCTCACGTAACAAAAACGTGACAAGACAAGACGAAACGAGACAGTCGTAACGAAATGCGTCGAAGTAATAATGTCCAGAAGAAAAATAATAATAATAAAAATAATGATAATATAATAACGCGATAAGTAATAAAAAATAATAATAAATATAGTAATAATAATATAATAATAATAATAATAATAATAAATAATAATAATAATAATAATAATGGAATACGATAATATTACCATTGTGTACGAGAAATGCCCCGCCTATCTTTCTACTAAAAATAAAAAATTATTTTTTGAATTGTGTCGTCGAGAGAAGAAGAGTCCTATGTAACCGTGTGTATGTGGGATCGCCCTGTGAAGAGAACCTCACCCCCGCGCTCCACCGAAGAGAGTACCCTACAAAAAATAGAGTTTAGCAAGAATCGATACAGAGATTTACTTCAAATTTTTAATTTATCATTCTCAAAATAGGACATTTGATATATAGCGATTCAATGGATTATCTCTTTTTTCATTTATATCAATTTATTATCTTCTTGGAGGAATTTAATCAAAAAGTTTTTAAATAATTAATTAATTAAAAAATAAATTATAACTCAGAATTAAATTCGACATCAGCATTTAATTACTAATATTTTAATTGTACTTACAAAAACTTTCTAAATTTAATTTCAATTTCGAAAATTAGATATTCCAATTCGAGAAATAAATTTCTCTCTCGGGGGATTCTTTTAATTCGTCTATTTTTTATAGGATACAACCTTGACCCCTCCTCTCTATAACTGATATAGCTGAATTCGTCGGTGTTTATCAATATTGGGTAAATAAGAAAAAAAGGTAGATCGAAGTCTGTGGTTTGGGTCGAATGAAGTAACCGACTAAATAGAAAGTAAAGACGCAAAAAAAAACGAATATAACGCATAATATATATAGGGGTATACGGTGAGCCAACGTGCGAGCCCACGCAGCTCCACCACGTTGTGTTCCACGTAGGCGATATATAATTAAAAAAAAAAAGATACATAATCATAACTGCAAACGTACGTACTAGTTAACGAGTTGACGTGGGGTTTAGCAAACGGTTAAGGAAGTGTGCTAGTGATTCTTACAAGTAAACATCGCTGTACATATCTGTTGTGTATAGCCTACTGTCTCGCGAAAGTAGTCTTCACATCCTCGCATAGAAAAATTTTCCACTGCGAAATCAGAGAATTTTAGCGGCGAGACGACATTGATTTTGCAATATTTAAATCAAGTCCCAACTGTCATATCTGTAAAATCTTCCGCATCGTTGCTTGAATCAAAGTTACCTTTGTAAAAAAAATGAACTAATTGAAAAAGAAAGAAATTTATATATGTAAATTCATATATATATTTTATAACGCGTAAAACGAATTTTCAATAATTGTAAAATAACATGCCGCTAAAATTCTTATACTCTTCGTCAAGTATTCCGTCTAAAGAAAACTTTTTTTGTTAATTGCCTTTTTCGGAGGGAAACCCGAGGTTGGAGGCATTTCGACTTGTGATTCATTCCGTATCGTCGTACAATACAGCGACTAAACTTTATTTTCCTCCGTATAAATAGAACAAGCGATAAATCGAAAACTTAATTAACTTAACGCGGAAAATTGCTCACAATCAATCATCAAAGCCTCGGGCTCGTCTATATTATTTCTACGAAATCCTAATAGTAAAATGGTTTCTTCACATTATTGTAATCTGAAGGAAATAATTTTCATATTGAAATGTATTGGAATAATATTTCAAAGAACTTGAAAATTACCTATATAAGATTATAAAATGTGGGAGTAAGAAAATCTCGAGATTATTTTACTCGGTAATTGAAAAATTAAATTTTATCTCGTTCAATATGTAAACGATCAGAGAGCTGAATTACGACATGTTAATATTATTTCTAAGATTCCACTTGTGGAAATAAATATTTTGTTGTGAAAAGTTGAAAAATCTTACGCATTACATTGGAATGGCCTGTTGTTCTTGTCAATTTATAAAACGGACGTATGTGATTAACTTTAAACTAATTAAATTTAATAACGAGGCAAAAATTGCCTCTTCGGTGATATTCCGTATGTCGCCTCGGGTAACCCGCATCCCCTCGATATTACGTTAATGATCTCCTCGGCTTCTCGGAGCACGAGGGGATAAAATCCCCTTCGTAGCGCTTGTTATTAAGTTGACTATTAATACGCCGTTATATCCGACACGCGCGCATTATTGTATAGTTTGTATTGTAGCAGAAACGCTGGACATGTGCGGCAGCGTTTCGTCGACGCCTCGAACAAAGAGTAGCCGGACGAGCGATTTTCCGTTGCAAACGATTTTCTATGTGTACTCGTCTACTCGCAAAATGATACGTAAAAAAACGGGAGAGAGAAAAGAAAATGATACGACAGTAAGAAGTCCTGTATTCGAGTTAACTTTACGCTTAGCGCATGTTTCCTTCGAGCGCAAGAGAGCCGCGCGGATAAATTCCGCTTGGTAATTTTTTTCCCTCGATATTTTTATTTATATCTAATTAAGTGTCTAAGCAAAAATTCTTTCGAGTTCGAATTTACCGAGAACACTTTGCAGTGTTTCTGCAATTTCTTCATGATCCAAATGTAACTGTTAAAATAAAATTTTAGATACAAAATTAAAATATTTTCAAATTAAATTTTATATCAAAAATACAGAAAAGTATTCTTCAGTTTACAAATGTTTAAATAAAAGTAAAAATACTATACTATACAGATTTTCGAGAAATCATCTCTACACTTGTGCAAATTTTAAATCTATTGAATAAAATTTTATAATTAAGGGAAGCGTCAGAGGATCTAAAAAACGGAAATTTCGGCATGGCTCTCATCGCAGGAAGGTGCAAAATTTATTATTGTTATGCCGGATCGCGATCGGCAGGCGCGATCGATACGCGATTAAGAAAAAGCAATACTTCGTAACTATCGTGTATGTCTCTGAATGCTGTTGAAAAAGGCCGGCCTCTCGGATAAAATACGAGAGAGACGATGATAAATATGTCAAAAAATGAATAGAGCGTGAAAGGAAGGATGTATGAGAAACTAAAAAGCGCGCGAGAGAGACATTATATATATATATAGATTAATATATATAAATATATGCGGAGAGTTGCGTTAACAAAATAGTTACTGCGAGGGGAAAGGAAGGAAGTCGTGCGCTTTTTATATATATATATATATATATATATATAAATATATATATATATATATATATATATACTGGCAAGCCTCGAGACACCGTTCGTCTCTCGCGCTTCTTTCTTGTAAGTCAGAAAAATAACAGCGGTCACGCGTGACATTTCTTTTTGTACATATATAATATACGATCGAAAATAATATTGACGTCACGCGACGACCCAGGGAGCGCCTCTCGAGATCTCTTCGCAATCGGTATCGCGGAATCCTTGCAAACAATTATGAATTGCCATGCAAAATTTTTATCTTGAACGCATGTGTATAATTGCTATACATACGCAATTTGACACTATATAAAAGGTCCAGAAAAAAGCTCTATCTCACATGCAATCATATGAGAATTTTTATTTTGGATTATGTATTACATTAATTCCTTTAATATTTATAAAAACCCGGTACAAATACATGTGAGGACTCCGTTAACGTTCGCGGATGGAACAGAGAGAGAGAGAAAGAGAGAGAGAAAGCTGCCACGTATGGAGAAGAGAAGAAATTAAAAAAAAAGTCACACAAAATCGTACGCGACATTGATGTTGTTAATTAGGGTACCTACAATTATCCGTAGTGATAGTAGTTTCGTACACCTGTGCCCGCAAAAGAGGAAAGGAGAATCGTATCACCGTAGCGATCTTTATACTTTCATAAAGAGACGACGGTCAATTTGTAATAGACGGAGAGAAAGTGACAAAGTAAAAAAAAGCAAAAAAAAATTGAGACTCCTTCCTGGCATTTACTCTCGGCATTTGGCGTGTCGGTGAACGCTTGTGTCCTGATCGCCGAAATCCTCCAGACGTAAAAGAGGACACCTCGGTGAACCCGGCGATCACCGACACGGCCGAAAATACACGCTCGCCCGTTCGTCTATATTTTTCTTTTCGTTTTTCGTAAACTTGTACATATTAATTGCGATCATTATGTAAATACTCTGAATGAACACACACACGTACGCGTGCTCGCATTGCGCGCAAGGTTTATTTTAAAAAGATTATACATCATTATATATGTATATGTATACATATGCATACATATGTATGTATATATACATATACATATATATATAAATATATTTACCATGTAATAATATATTTAACAATAAGGTAACATATATTCTATACTCTTACACGCTAAGTACTCAATAAATATATCTATAAAATCTCCCCGTGTTTGTGTGAATGTCTGCCCCTGAACCCATCCTGATGATCCCGTCGTATCGTGGCGTCTGTGAACCATCCCATCAAAGCCAAAGAAATAAAAGAAACAAGATACTATATCTCGAATAATGTCGACACCTCTGTTTATCGGACCCGTTGAAGGAACTACCGTTAAATGTGTTTCCTCTCACCCTCTGTTACCTCATTTCGCGCACTATTCCTACCCTCATCCTCCACCTTTGCGCATCTTTTGCCGTAATTTCACACCTCACAAATGTTCACGAAAGATTTTAGACTGTATAGGTATACAGATAAATATATGTATATAATATAAATACATACATATATATATATATATATATAGATATACGATATTCTCGCGACGGGTCCGACATGATCTGACAAGTACCTATGGATACGTGATGTGATGAAAGTTGTTTTTCTATCGATAATAACGAAAAAGATAATTAAAATCTTTTAGTAACATCACTGGCAAGTTGTTATCATTGCTCACTCTCTCACTCTTTCTTTCTTTCTTTTTCTCTATCTTTCTTTCTCTTATTCACAAATACACACATACATATTGTATATAGCAATATTGGATTCAACGCACATCCAACATTAAATATTTCTTTAGATTTATTATCTGCTCACCTCTGATTGCGAATGCATAAATAGGAACTTATTCTGTTGGTGCTCTAGCAGAGAAACTAACAGTCGTTATTTGGTTTTGATGAATCATTTCATGCTGATCCTTCTGCGTAACTCTGTAAAAATTATAAATATAAAACAAAGATAAATTAGCTGTATAAATCAATGCTCTTAAATATAAGAGTTTATTGATTATGCTCAGGAAAATATTAGTACGCTGTCTATAAAAATAAAGACACATTAATCCTACTGTAACTGAACAGCGTGACTTTTAAAATTTTTGGTCTTTTAATATATATGTTGATCAAAATTAATATCCCAATTTGTATCTTCTTTTTTATCCTTATTTTTATCTTTTATTGTATATTAGAATCTATTCTTATTAATAGATAATGGATTTCTTTTTAATATTAATTAATTTTAACTGGAAAGACTCAATATAAATAAATATATAAATAATGATTAGAAAGAGAATGGAAGAAATACGCTTTATATTACGAAAAATTAAAATTATTATCATTATTGATTTATCTTGTTGAAAATTTAAATAAACTATTTTTTGCTGACATGAACTAATGGATCAACAATACAGAGGAATTAAATACCACAGCTAAGAATATAATTTTATACATTTTTATTGCAAAACAAGTGTTTTTGACAATAATTTTGTTTTTTTACAAATACACGATGATTACGATCTAAAGACAAAAGAAAAGAAATATATGTTACATTCCCGTCAATTTTATTATTATCGAACTATATAATGTGCCAACATACATATATGCCCGACTAGAAACAAAATTAAATATTACAACTGGATTGCTCTAAGAATGTAACATATATCAGATACTTTTGTTACTTGAAATAATGGTAAGAATGAATGAAATGTTATAAATAGTAAATCATATTTTTACATTTAAAAAATGTTATCTTTCACATAATCAGCACTATTGATAACAAAGTTAGTCAACTACATATATTGCATTCCTTGATTTATATATGCGCGCGATGTATAAATAATTTGATTTTTATTTGTTTGAATGCAGCAAAATTTGCATATATAACGCATTTCTATTACAAATATTTATTCTAGATAAAAAAAATTTACCATAGAAAAAATAAGTTAATAAAAAATGTTATTTAAAAAAGTTATATAATCAACTTTTTTCTTTTTATGAAACTATCAATCTCTATTTTCTAATCAAAAAGTGCTTTAAGTGATAGATAAAGACTATTCTAAGTAAGTATCATAAATACATAATTTACATTTTGTTAATATTTTTTCAATTTGCATTTCATAATTACAAAATATTATTAAGAAATTATCGAAAAGCAACTTAAAAAAAAGTATTAAATACATTTTATGCCAACAATTTGATTTGATCTATTCTTTTTACAAATCGGCATAGAGATTATATGAACACCTTGTGAGCAATAGTCATACAATATACATGCGCGCTAATTTCTTTGCGACTGTACAATATTATCGAATAAAGCAAATACTGGAAGCAGCACCCATCATGGGCTTAGAAGAATGATGGAATGTATTTATCATTAGTAGGAAGTTATTAGCAGAAGTTATTTGCAAATATAGATCACAAATTAAGAATAAAAATTAATTTAATGCTAAAAAAAACGCAGTATCACTTCTAACATTTAAACACGATTAGAATTATTACTAGTATTGAATTTTTTCTATTTAATAAAATAATTTTTATAAGTAATGTAAAAGTTTTTGTAACAACATATAGAAAAATACAAACACAGTATTGATTGAATGAATAAATCGGTCTCTTTAACATTGCAATAACACAATAATAGTGCATGTGAGTTGGTTTTCGCCAACAATGTTACTTACTCAAGGCCCAGAGCCCAATTTATACCTTGAACTAGGAACAAAATTAAAGGTTGCCAAGCAACTAGCCATCTTAACCAATCCAGTAACTGTCCGTATAAAACATGTGGTCGTTGCCATCTGCATTGTTCATTAAGGTATACACAGGACAGAGATAAATTGACATTAAATCACTGTGAATAAATTTTTGTCGAAAAGGATACGGATTGCGAAACATTTTCTTTAAATCGACTTTTTCTTTGCAATAAGGGCAGGTCTGTTTCTTTCCTACAATGCACCAGCCCCTAATGCAAAATTCATGGAAAACATGTTCGCAAGTAAGTTTGTATGTATTTTCAATCACACCTTCCTCATGCTCAGAAACTAGCAGCTTGTTTCCACATACTGCGCAAACATTTGGTTCCAAAGTTCTGGTTGGCATACTGCCTGGAGTGTAATACTGCGTGAAACATATTAAATATTACAAAGTTATATGTGTAATACAATGTTTGACACAAGATAATACGTACTCCAATATGTGATGCCATTGTGTCAGCACATATTTCAGCGACATCTCTTCCTAATACTCCAAAATAAAGACCATAAAATAGAAATAATATACCACAGTCCATCCAAACATGAGGCTTAACATCTAATAGAATATTTATACCAACAAATGTAAATAACACTAAAATGTATCCAATTATGCCTAGTGCGTAACTGAGTTTATAAATGAAATAAAACCATTTGTACACTAGCCTGAAAGAGATAAATATCTTCATTATTTTATAATTACTCTATCTATGTAACATTAATAACTAATGAACATTACCTAGGTGTTGTACCTAATATTGGTCTTTGAATAGCTTTTCTTACTACTAGACCTGTTATACATGAAGATAAAAGCCATAAAAATATAAATCTCCACCAGTGGTTCTTTAAACTTATTCCAAATGGAATAATCCACATGGCTACTAATGTTACAAGCTACAAAAGAACATTTTATTTGTATGTAATTCAAATATTTATATTAAATAAGTACAATTTATCTCTTTCTCTTTCTTTACCTGATATGATTTAAAGTGCCTCTTCTTCCATTCAACCAATGCAATCTGTACTATTGTTAACGTTACCAACAATATAAGCAGCATCTCTGCGTGCATAGATTCGTGACCCATGTGCTGTTCGTGCATCTTTATATGCTCCATCCTAAAGTTTAATAAAAAATATTCCATTAATATATTTTTTAAAGGAATGTTTTAAGTTTAGAACTATAAAAAAAAAGATAAAGATTTATGTCATAATACTACAACTTTGTAACTTACTTCCATTTTTCCTCTGGAGTTAATTCTGCCTTGCTCTAAAAACAAGAAACATAAAATTAACAATTATAAGACTCTAGACAATAACACACGTGATTCAAAACAAAAAACTCTTGGCAATATGCAATTGTTATTAACGACAAATATTTATACATGAAACGAAAATAATGCCTGCCAAATTATTATTGGACTTTAATGAGAGGTTATGTTTTCTAGGATATGTTATTATCAAGCAGTTATTCTTTAAAATTATGCACTTACCTTATTTGGTATCTGATGTATATCGTGTATATCCATCACAAATACTATATCCCATTAACATACAGAGAAATGAGAGTTAATTAACTGACACGAGACAACCGATTCATAGCGGACGTATCTTAAAACACTGTTAGCAGTATTACATATTTAACATGAATGACCGGCATTTTTTTCAGCATTATTATGTGACTGAATAAATATTTCCAAAAATAATAAAAAAAGCTCGAAACATATTATATGAAAGCCATTAAGACTCTGAGCTTTTAATCACCTTTTTTGTGCATTTTTTAAATCTACTTTTGCCGAATAAACAAAAATAATTTTGATATTTCGCGCCGAAAATATTCTACGACATAGCTGACGTTGACATCAACGTGTATGCAATAGGTTTTCAGAGGTTATGTGTTTGATTTAAAGCAAGGAAGACAGAATATGAAGAGAGGATTATGTATATTCGTAAATTGTCTAGAATCTAGAGTGAAATACTTTTGTAACTATGCAAACATCGCTGTCAATAATATTCACAAAAATACTCTCTTACATATACTATTTGATTGATTTCAAGTAAATTTTTAATTATATGCTATTTTTCCTCGATTACAAAAATAAACATTAATATATTTTGGGTGCAAAAGCGATGTTCAAGTAGCATTTAAATTCAAAAAACTATCCTCTTTCTCTGTCACACCAGAGAGAAACAAGAGAGTGGCCACCGGAGTTATTCTCGCGTGACATCACAGCTCCGACTCGAGTCGCCAAGTTCACGTGAAAACGGAGCTTAGGTTTTTATTCGCGCGCGAATAAGCTCCCGCGATTCTCGCGTTTTACCGAAACGCACCGAAAATGTGACAGCTAAAACCCGGACGTAGCGAACGAAAAAAGTCACGCGAGTTATTTCGAAGTTCTTTTTACGACATTCCCGACACCAAGATTATAATTTTCTATAAGAAAAATAGTACCAGCGAAGAATCCAGAGTGAGCCGAGCCCGAAGAAAAAGAATTAATCGAAATGTGAGTGAAATTATTTAATCATTTCATCATTTAGTGATAAGCGATATAGAAGCAATAGAAAAATATGTTTTATTTGTAAGATCATAGATATGCACGTCAATAGCAACTTTATCGACAGGTATAAAGTATTTTGTCCAATTAGTTCCAAGCACTCCGAAGTATGGCGCTACAGTGCAAAAATAGAAAAATCCGAAGTGATTTTTGTACAATTATATGATGATAGTTTTGATTTTGATTATCCTGCTAACCTGTCGTTTCATTTAACTGAACATGGTAAAATTAGCCTTAAAGAAATAAAGTTGATTTTATTAATTTTTGTTTCAAAATTTATTACAAGAGTATCTCTTAGAAAAATTACATATAATTAATCAGCCAGCTCCAGTTGAGTAAGAAATATTTTTTATCATATCATTATCAATATAAACGGTACAAAAATTTGTTATCAAATAACAATTTGTCTTAAATTATTATCATAATATTTAATTTGCAAATGGGATTCTTTAACATCAAGTAATGTCAAATATATTAAATCGAAATAATCAAAATAAAGCTCTATATCTTTGATATATTTATTTAATATCATCTTCCATTTAATATTCCATTTCACACACACACACACACACAAACACTACAATAAAATTTGAATTCCAAAACAAGTATTACCAAATGATACACATACACATTCAAAAAGTGTATTTACTGTATTTAATTGTAAAAAAAAATGAGAATGTCAACTGGTTAAATAACAAATTCAAATAATGCGCGCGTGCAATTTCAGGTAAAAGCTGCGCGCGGTCGCTCGTGAACTTTCGGATCTCTACGTCGCTTAAGCCACGCCCAGAGCGCTACGAGCGCGCAGACAGAGACAGAGAGGGAAGAGAAGCTGGAATGGTAATTCACTCCGCGGAGGCAGCAATATGAGCGTCTGTGGTACCGTTCGTTGAGAAAACGCCGCGACGGACGTGACAAAATTCCATCGCCGTGAAAATCGCATGCCGATACGTGTCGCGCGACGTCTCGCGTGTCCGCGAGTGTGTTGAACAGTGTGTCGGTGTCTGATCGCCGTTCCTCTCTGCGAGTACACGCATACACGCACACACGTGGATATACGGATTTCTTGGGGTTAGCTCGCCGGATTCACGCGAGGGATTATCGCCAGCCCGTATCTTCGGTCGCCGCAACGCCAAGGAATTGCTTTCGGTGAGTGTGACGCAGAATATTATACTCTTTAGACAGTGACACTCCTCGGGAGATTCATCGAGTTCCTCCAGGACGATCGTTCCTGGCGAGTCACGACGATAACCGGCGTCCTCGCCGAGTTTCCTTGCCTTTGACACACGAGCAAAATATTTTCATGTGTCCCCCTCGACTGCGCCGAGGAGCAATAAAGACGGTTCGAAGGAAAACAGGACGCTCCGATCCGTGAATCGAGCGTGATTCTGGCCGATAAATATAACAACGCGATGATCAATTAAAACTCCTGCATAACTTCCTTATTATTTTGCCAACTAATTGCTGTATATCCTTGTAAACATGCGCACATGTCAATCTTCGTAACAGCAGTTGTCGCGTATTTTATAGAACAGTCGTAGAACAATCGAACGTTCCCACGACACTGTTTCCTATATATGGCAATTAAGTCGTAATTAAATTCCGTTCTTAGCGTCCATTCTCGATCCTATTTACGACATTTTCAAGGACTTAGATTTGCCTTAGGCAGTGCGATTAGAGGTCAGTTACCGGCCTGTTACACCTTTCTATTTGTGTGTGATATGTTACGTTTGCGTTATCAATCTTTTTCAATATCTAATAATACGCAGCGTGCGCAATTTATTTTCGTCGCGAAACCAGGTCGAAAACGTAATGCGTTATTGCACAAGAGAGAAAGTTTTTTTTCTGCATTTAAAATTTTTTTTTTTTTTTAATCAGATACCCCTCCGGCCTAGAATAGAGTCGACGGGGAAGGTTTTGTCGCGATTACTGACCCTGAAAGGACGCGTCGCGGAATGCGGAAAACATCGCGGTGGAAGGTCAATAGTTTCTCGCGGCCAGCAATCCTCCGATGGAATCGAAGATCGCGTTTATATCTGTTGCGTCCCATTTGTATCTTCGGATCGACAACGGTGCAATAAAGTATACGCGATAAAATGCGAATATATAGTGTATCTAGATCCGCGTGAGATTTATCGAGCGCGTTAATTTATCGCCCCATCCCGCTCGTTAATTACGATAACTCATTAATAACTCAACAATGCTCTGCGTTCTCCACCTTCTTCGCTCGATCTCGTTTATGCTTTAATCGTGAGAAATATCGCCGGGGACGGATTTATACGGCAGGTAATAAAATTTAGGCCTCTTCGTTCGTGCGACGCACACATTGAACGTTAATTGCGACCGCTCGATTCTCAGATTCAGATAAAAATATACGAGATAAATGTGGCGCTAAATGCGAGAGATTCGAGAGAAGTGTGAATTTGAAATTGCCGAGGTAATTCGGAGGATGATTGTTTGCTCGAAAAGTTTTATCAATTTCCCGCGGATATTCCAGTCCGAAAGTTACGCCCCAGTGTGTCATAATGAAAAAGACTCGTAACTACTAATTAATTCTACTCTACTCGGTTTACGTTTTCGCATCGCGATTCGGTAATGCGGTTTCGTCGTTAAGCGCGCGGAACGGATGTAAAGTCATGGAACTCCCTGAAGGAGCAAAGTCCTCTCGCAACACAGTCGTTTGGACGTCGTACAAATTGGCCGACCTCCAGGTTTCTCCGCGCTCTCGCATTCGTCGCTTTCCCGCCCGCGAATATATCGCATTCCTCTCGTCAGCATCCGCGTGAGTCTAATGCGTTTGCGTCTGTGTTGGGATTTTCGCTTCCGCCACGAGAGCGATATCTAAGCGCCACATGTGCTCACTCCAAATCTTATAGTGTTGACACACGACCGCGTATCGTGTACTACATAAATATGTGCAATATTGTACTCCAAAATTTTCAGAGATAAATGCCTAATGAGGACAATTTGTTTTCAATCCGCGATAATTAACGATATATTTTATATTCTTTCCCGATGACGAAAAAATTTCAATGCTGTGCATAGAAAATACGATCGATATTTTATTTGATATAACTAATCTAGAAACATAACATTGAAAAGTACAAAACGTAATCTCGTGAAAATATTATTTCATATATTATTATTGGGTCGTTAATTAAATTAGAACTTGTTCATTCTTTTTATTATCAAGTGTTCTTTAAACCCGAACATAAAGAATATAATCTGAAACAAGATGTTTATTTTTGCGAGATATTCTTTGCAATTTAAAACCTTAAAGATGATTGACATCAATGGCTTTATTAGTCAACACAATGCGCAAAGACAAGAAATAGGCTTGTAAACGCATTACGATGCTATAAATTATTGTAGCACTGAAATCATGACACAATAAAAAATGCTCATATCAGTCGAGAGCAGCTACGATAAACTCATTCGTTACGATTTTATCAAATATATACTGATAATAGAATTGCAGATCGCATATAACCACGTGATCGTGATAACGTGTTCTAGCTTGTATAAATGATTTAGCTACCTCTCTTGTAGGTTTTGTAACAATATTATCCCGCTAAAAAAACGCCACGGTCGAGTCGCGTTGCGTAACAGACACGTTTAATCTTCCTCTAACGACAAAAAAATTTCAATGAGAAATTGATATACCGAACGTAATTACGAAAACTTGTACATCTCGTAAATGCAGGATTAAAAAGGTCGCGGTGACGTACAATATGACGCTATTTCATTGGTTGAACGAGTCAAGGTCTGTAATCACTGACGCTTTTCATAATTGCATGGTGCTTTGTAAGGTATATCGTCAGCAAACTTAGTGAGGAAGGTTAAGGCCAAGGATAAGCGAGTAGACTAGTCGATCGTAAGGATTCTGCTAAAACTTTATCATTGCTTAAGGAAAAGAAAAATCTTTACAATTCAAAATTAATATGATAATACAATCTCTGCTATCACCGACTATCACATAGTATAATATTTTATAAATATATTATGCCAACGTGAACCTATATTATTGCAACATCAAACACGACCTAAACATATATAGGTATACACTATATTTTAAAGAAAAAACTTAAAATTAATTATTCCTAAAGCTTTTGCGGGAGATAATTCTGGAAAATATTATAATATTGATATATTTATCATCATTTTTTTAATGTATTCTGTATTCTTATTCTTCAGTATTATTAATTTTAATTCAATTTAGATACACAGAGAGAATTTTCTCTTAAAATTTACCCTGAAATTCATAGTAATCATATAGGACAATATGGTATTGGAAGATTTTTATAAGAGTATCTCTGATTAATATTTATCACAATAAAAAATATTAATATCTACCACTATAAGATATAAAATATGTTTGATTAATTTTACTAAATTATATTTCAATATTTTTTAAATATATTAAAAACTATAAATTTTTAAGTATTTTAAATGAAATAGATGACAAAAAGTAATATATAAAATATTTATATAAATTTTACTACAATACAGTACATTTTTAATCCAGCTAATCAATCATGATAATTTTAACATGCAGCGTGATAATTTTCGATTTATTACCAAACATGATAAAATTTGTAATGAATTTTGCGGTAAAATAACGAAAAATTCTCTCCGTGTATAGATGTTTAAAAATTTATTACTTGTCCTATCAATATTTCTTCATCGCGTTTAACATTCTACCCTTTGAACATTCGTCCGTATCTCGTTGGAATTCATGTTAAAGATAACTTTCGCCATTACGAGTACACGCTGTGTAGGCAGTTGCATCGACTGCTATAAAGTTTTTTTAGCGATGCGTGCATTCCTACGCGACAGACGCTTCCTATAAATATACCGTAACGGAAATGAGAAATAACGCGTGCGCGTTTCACCAGGATCTCATCTTCGAGGGGCATCGAAAGAAAGAAAAATCACGCGGCCGGTTGCGAATAAATCCGCTGACGCGAAGTCGCGCGTTACTTCTCGGGCCAGCCATGCATCTCTCGCATTATTTTCCTACTCTCTCTCTCTCTCTCTCTCTCTCTTCCTCTCGTTGCACCTGCCTACGTCGCGTAACGCGCGCATTAAATCTCTGAAAGGACGTTGCGTGGGCAATGTGGAGCGCGACAATGAATAGAGTGTGACTGGCTGTGTTGGGCATAAACAACATCGCGACCTACCTGTGTGAACTGCGTAATCCATCTTTTTACACGTAATTCACGTATTTAGCTAATCTTCTGAATATGTGCGAATCTCTTTCTTTCCGGTTTTCTTTCCATCTGTCTTCTTTCCGAGTTAAGACCTCGATTCAATTATATGTGTGATGATAAAGTGTCACATTAATCTTCTGTGTTACAAATTACAAGCGATTAAACATGAACTGTATCATGCGAATTAAATGAAACTAATGAAAGTGATAAAAGTAGATAAACGAAATTTTATTTAGTATCATATTTATGTTATTTGAACGGACAATTGCATGTGTAATTTTGGACAGACTTAATTGCCTCAAAATATTTATAAAATATTAAAAATTTAGTAAAAGAAAATATTTGAAGTTTGAAAAAATGATTAAGCTTTTTGCTATTGAATATTTCTGATATCACTTGTTAGTTTGTTTGAAAATTTTATTGGCGCAAAAAATTTTAAGGCAGAAAACTGCATCCGCTGTTTGCTACTTTTCGATCTTGCACTTCGATCACCATTTTCTCGATGATCGATCATGTGCTTGAAATTCATTCAATTTCGTAACACAAAAGTCACGACGCGACGCGCAAAGTGAAATCACACGGAAAAATTTGCTCGTAAATTTCCCTCGCGCGTTGAACAATCATCGTCGAATAACGTCGTTTATCCACGTGTTTGCCACCATTTCCGTATCGCTTGTCATAATTCATCGGGTTGTAATTTATAACGGACGATCTCTAGCGTATCCAACGACCCGGCGTCATAATATACATCCTGCATTCTCACGCATTTAACGTTTAATGAAGGCAGTTGACTTCAATCGCATTTCAGTAGCAGATTACTCGGAATCTCCTTTCACGAGGAATAAAAAAAAGAAAATAACATTAATATATCTATATACGCTGTATCTCAATCGTTTGAGAGCAATGACAGGAAGCAATCGCACGACAGCTTGCGTACAC